TCAAGGTCCCACGAGCTCAATCCTCAGTACCAAAACAAAACAAAACAAAAAAGAGTGTTTAGGTATTGGATCCATCACCCTTCCCTATTTTACAGATGAGGCAAAGCCAAGCAGATGGCCAGGATGAATAAAAGAATTGCTTAAAATACAAAAGATTCAAGTAAATCTTGAGACAGTCCTGACACACAGTCTGAGTTTCCTTCCATGGCAGCACAAGATGTGATTAGGACAATTACTGGTTTTTTTTTCTTTTTTTCCTTTTTGAGACAGGGTCTCAATATGTACTCCAGGCTGGCCTCAAATTTACTATGTAGCCCATGCTGGCTACCAACTCCCAGCAATCCTCCTGTCTCGGCCTCCTGAGAACCGGGATTTCAGGTGTGCACCACACCACCTACTTCAATTTTTCTTTTTGGTACTGAGGATCGAACTCAGGTCCTTGCCCTTGCAAGGCAGGAGGCAGAACCACTGAGCTAAATCCACGATCCTCAAGTTACTTTTTAAAACCAAGTAATCCTAAAGAAAAGCAGCAGCCTACCTACCTAACAAGGTCCCTTCTGTTTGCCAGCCTCTGTGCTAACACTTAACGAATGCTCTAAATCCATCACCTCAAACTTAGTCAGGAAACTGCCAAGACCTTAGTTATATACTTTTATATTTACTCTAAAATATGAAATTTTAGTTTGTATATATCTCTTTTCTTTCTTATTTTTTGAGGGGAGTAATATTGAGGATTGAAATCAGAACCTTTGCACTAAACTACACCTCCGATCTTTTTTGAGACAGGTTCTTGTAAGTCACTGTACTGTCCAGGCTAGGCTCAAATGTGATATCCTCCTGCCTCAGCTTCCCAGAGTGCTGAAGAACAGACATAAACCACCATGACCAGCTTTGTACGTGTGCATGTGCAGTGCTATGAATAAAGCCCAGGAAGTCTTGCATGTTAGGCAAACAGTCTGCTACTGAGCTATACATCCAGCCCAGTCTTAACTTCTCAAGTATTACGGCACAACACACTGAAATAATTAATTCGTCTACCAACCAGATTATCCAAATACAATCCTTGCCATATTCTTTTATTTTGTCTAAAGATGGTTGTTTTTTAAATTTTTAAAAACCCACAGAACTCTAAAAGTGCCCTCCAAACCAATACACTTTGCAAATGATAATTTTAATTCCCAGAAGACGAGAGTCAGATTTAAGAATTCAGCAAGTTTTATATGAAGAATTCTGTACTTATCATGAGGCCCAGGCACAACAAAAGAATTAACTATGATTCAGCTGTTATAAAGGATTAATGTAATTGCTGGTTGAAGATGTTTGTTAGTAGAAACAATGATCACATCACAGTTGAAAAGGTAAAAGGAAAACAGCAGGAATTTGAAATGAATGTTTACTAACACAAGGAGAGCAAGAAAGTATTCCCTTCCACAGAATAGTGATGCTCCATCAGTCACTGTAGGCAAAAGCTTCGGGATTTGTTGACAGCTCCTGCTCACTGCCAAAGGGGAGCTTCCAGACAGGACAGCCTTGAGCAGGGACCTCTAGTGCAGCCCAGGACAAGGCTGTCCTTGAACTAGGGAGATGCTGAACCCCCTCCACGTCTGGAGTCGGGTGCCTGCCCGGTGGGAGAGGCTATGTCCGTGTCTAGGCCAGTTTCCAGACCCAAGAGCGTGTTTCCAAAGTCCAGACAAGAAGTGTCCTATTGGCTGACAGCTGCGGAGCGGACAGAGCCCAAGCTGGGTACAGATTAGACACACACTCCTGCGCCGGCTGTCAGCGACCAGGCCACCTTGCCCCGGCCTCAGAAGCAGCTTCTCCTGCTGAGATGGCACACCTGCCCCGTGGCCCAGCTGAAGGCAAGCCACAGGGACACTCCTCCTGCAGAGGCAAGGTGGCAGCCAGCTGGCTTGAAGCAATCCTTTGTTTACAGATTTACATTTGATTTCAACTAAAATTTTAAGTCCTATTGGAAAGTCCACCAGTTCTGATTTAAAAACCTTAAAAAAAAAAAACAAAACCTGAAGACCGACGCTAATTTATCGGATATTTTATGATGAACTAGAAGAGAATTACTGGCAGGTGACAACAAGAATGTTTAAGGAGACGCAAATACTAATTGCTCTGATTTGCTCCTTGTACTCGTTTACTGAATTATTACAGTAAAACACTGCACAACATCAATACGTACAACTGTGCCAGTTAAAAGAATTATTTAATTTTTTAAAAAATCTGGGCACCACTGCTGAGTGTATACCACCAGGAGTTTACTCGTTTTCTGTAACCCTCAGGACAGTGTTCTGGATATGACTCCACTCCAGTCCCTGTCAAAGTAAAATGCAGCTTTTAATACAACAGGGTACAAACAGCAACACAGCAGTAGCAAAACTTGGAAAAAACAGATACCTTTCACTTCCCCTTTCAGAAACTTTACCAAGAATGAAACAAAACACAAGGAGTTCTTAACCTTCCGCAAAGAGAGAAGAAATGAAACAGAAGACAGGAGATCCGAGCACCAGTCTCTCTCCTTTATCTTACGTCACTCGCGCTCTCTTTAAGAAAGGTTTTCAGATGAACACAGCTGCGTGTGAAGAAAGCAATGCTGCTTCCGCTGATTGCGAAATAAACAAACAAACAAATGGAGTTGTAAGCAGATTTCACTAAGAAGCCATCATTTTAGATGGTTCTGAAGATAAGCAAATTGGTGTCACTTACAAGATGTGACAAGGATTGCCCTGGTCGGTGTCTAGACTAGCCTGTACACACGGAGAGAACTGTCAGTCTCATATGTGACATATTTCCCAGCGAAATCATGATGTTCATACTCCCGGAAGTTTTATTTAAGCGCTGCAGTACTCAGCTTTCAAGATATCTTTTCATTTTGAACCTGCTCATTAAAATCCAAGATCAAGGTGAGGGACATAGCCCAGTTGTAGGGCACTTGCCCAGCATGTGCGAAGCCCTACACTCAATCCCCAGTGCCCACATCCCCAATTTTTTAAAAAGTAGAAAGCGTTAACAAGCACCATTTTGCCTACTGGGAATCCTACAATATTTCATTCATGAGGAAAATAAAAGATTCTGCATGAAAGAAAACAAGCCCAGGAAATGTATGGATCTATGCCTCTATTTTCCATGGTCAAAGCTACTTTAGCAAAAACACTCAGAAGTTCAATAATCTGAGAAAATCACACATCTTCCGGGCAACGCATTTGACAGGTAAAATTTAAGATCCATGGAGCGTGGCAGTGCGGGCCTATAATCCTGGCACTCTGTGAGGCCTGTGACATGGGGGTGGCAAGTTTGAGCCCAAAGTGAGCAATTTAGTGAGACCCTGTCCGAAATGTTTTAAAAAGAGCTGGGGCTGTAGCATAGCGTGAAGGCCCTGGGTTCAAACCCCAGCACTGCAAGAAAAAAAAAAAAAAATTAAGGAAAGTCATTTAACT